TGTAGGGAACCCTGTCCTTTGACAAAAACACCACCAAAATTCCACTGATGATGATTTAGCCTGCAGTAGTACCCATATGGCTGTCAGTGTTCATCTATTACCTTGGCATTTTGACAAATATTGTTCTATTATATCAAGTAGAAGCTAAACCAACATACTCTATGTTACTGGGGGAGATAAGCAATCTTAATATAATCTGCTTCCCTGGGGAAAAAAAAAAAAGATTTTGTATCTTTTGATGAGTCAGCATTGGTCCCTAGATGTTCTAGGGCAATCCTGGAGGAGGAACTCTTGCCCAGCAATGCTGGTGTACCTGTCCTCTCATACCATTTTATTGTCATGTGCCAGCTGGGCATTTAGATGGTGGTAGGTTTATCCTGAAAGCTAATCATTGCTCTTCAGACTCTGAAGTCCATCTTACCATATTTTAGGTGACACAGGACATCTAACTAGCATTCCTGGACTTCCTCAGTCTTTCTGAGGAGGAGCAATGTGATTGCATCAAAGATCACTGTGACATACAAGTTATAACTAAGACAAAACATACAGGCAGTTTGCTGCAAGTGGGTTACGAAGAGGCAAACTCCAGAGCTCGGTGATTACAAATCTACCTATAAGCCTAGGGAGTGATAAGAAGTACAGAGAGGAAATACAACTAATTTAATGCATTAATTAATGAATATACACACACACACTAACACATAAAATAAAAAAGGAGGCGTTCAAAGAGTAGAACACAATTGATTTTGTGTTCAAAACTGATTTTGAACAAAACACTTCTGATTTTCAAAAAATGGGGTTTTTTTTGAACAAAACATTTTTGATCAAAATTGATTTTCGATCAAAACACAAAAATTGATTTTGTGTTTGCTTTTTGCAATCAAAAGGCAAACTAGATTAATGGATATTCATTCTGTTCTGCCACCAAGGGCAGAACAGAGGACACTGCAAGATATTGGTGGTGGCTCCTCCATTTAATACCCTCAGGAACAACACAATGCTTATCAGATGAGTCTCTTATCACTTGCATTTCAAGTACATGTAAGCAAAGACATTCAGAAACATTTTGAGCATAGATTCAATCCATAAACAACAAAACATAGTTGTTTATGGATTGAAAGATTTTTCGGATGCTGTTTCAGGTCCCATTTGCTTCATCCTTCCTACTTAAGTTCAGAATGTAGAAAAAGCTTTCACTGATTTTATAAAAAAATCTAGGTGCCTCTTATTCACAGGCCCACTTTCATTTCACTCTACACAGATTTCATAACAAGGCAACCTGAATAGACTGACTTTCATCTTTCAAGCATCTCTAACTTAACAATGAAACCTGGGAACGCATGTCTTCAAACTTGCACTCAAACAGCTGCAAGCTCTATTTTTTTTCTCTCCACTGCACCCTTCCTGGCACTGCTTTCTGCTCTAAATCACAAAAAATAGCCACATTTATCTGTCCTAATCCAGTCAGAAAGCAGCAACGGCAGCATTTTAACCTACTTCTCTCTGTTAAACACATAACCTTTAACGTTTATGAGACCTCAACTAGCTTACTAAGTTTAACACTTACTTTCACAAACAAATTAGAACGATTTATTGAACTATATAGAAAGGGTAATTAGGTCACTTCTGATTCAGTTGAAACCTTGCTCTGCGTGGCTTGTCTTATGGTAACACGTATTCAACAAACAATACCAGTCGAGTCCTTCCATTAAAATTATAACTTTTAGCTAAGTTCCACTTCCCTAGTAAGAGATCATGCTTTCCTTATTCACATAAGTGAATCTGAAAGACAAGAAACATCTTAACACGTGTATTTTAGCTTACAGCTTAATGAGATTAAATCTGCTTAAAATAGATAGGCTACACTATCATTTGTATATAAGAATTTGTGAAATGTTAGAAAAAAATACTGTCACAGTTCCTGACATGGCTCTTAGGAAACATTGTCAAGTTGCAAGAACATTTCAGTATTCTGCCTCACTACACAGAAAAACATAGAACTTAAAATCAAACCCTTCTGACATCTTAAATTAACACTTTTTTAAGAGCAGCATTAAATGGTGAGTGCTTGCAGATCACATCTGGTTTCAGTCTGTATTGGTGGGCAAAAGCAAGCAACAGAAATTTCGGATGTCCACAGGAGGAATGTCTTCCCAGTTCTGCCACTGTACCATCACCACTGAGACACCGCCTTTGGTAAGCTCTTTTGCTTCTTTGTATGCTCTTCTGTGTGAAATGGAAGTGAGCCTTTCACCTTCAGAAAATACTGTGAGTGCTAAGAAGTGTTGTCCAAGTGGTAAAAAGTGTTTAGGAATTACTGCAGCTTAGCCATCCTAAACAAAATAAAACCAATTCTTGTTTTTATAGATGAATATCAAGGTTGTGAAGGACTCCATGTTAAGTTTAAACTGTATTTAAAGAAAACTACCTAATTTAAATAGTTGCCTATTATATAATGATTTCTTGTGGACAGGTGGGTTTGTGGGGTTTTTTTTCCTCCAGTGGTTTCTCAGTGACTCAAAGACAATTCTCTTCTGTTCAGAAATATGAAGCATGCTATTTAAAAACACTCGATTCAGCAAGTTGTATCAAGGATAAACTATCCTGACCTTTCTCATTATTTTTAGCCACTTGTACTACTCATGCTATATTTTAAGCATGAATTGAAGCCTGTACTTAACTCTTTATTAGATAAAAACACTAAAGCCATACTAGGCTCTGGACATGTATATTCCAAGAACAATGACTGCAACTATTTAAGGGAAAAAATACTGATTTTAAGGATGTTTTGCTTTTCTGTAAACCTACAAACCTAACTGTTGCCATGGTGAAGATTATTTTCCATCTCAATGCCTTCTTCCATTTTAAACATTTTCTACATTCAATGAAACTTACTGTCTTGACTTAAACTTTTTAGCTATGGAGTCAAACAGGATAAATATGGCTTAGATTTGTATATACACTAATATACATACATGAGTCAATGAAGCTCTGATATTTAAAACACGTGGGATATCAATAGTCAAGATCATATGCCATATATACCCACAGGACTATACCCTCACAGTCATATCTTTATCACAGGATTGTCCTATGCATAATTTTAATGAAGGGAATTAAAGAGTGTTTATTCTGTCATCCTACTCATTGGGGCACAGTACAGAATACTATATATACCTAACTTCCTCAATTCCAAAAGAAACTAAACCAATTAAAAGTACTTTTAAAACACAGCCTTCTCTAGGCTACAGTGGAAAGAAAGAAATTAGTCTCTGCTCAATCTTGAGTGGCATTTTCATCCTTCTTTTTTTGAGTTTGGTTTGAGTTGGTTTTTGATTTTGTTTTTGCTTTTTTAATCAGCTCTGCTGTCATAAGAAAGATCTGTGAAAATTTCTAAAAAAAATGTTAAATAACTGGTAGAGATACAGTGTATGCATAATCTATATTAATATGAATTAAGAAAAACAGTTCCTGTTACAAGCTGTGCAGATGCAAAAAAAAAAAAAAAAGCAGTTGTTTTCCTTGTTTCTTCACTGTATGATCACAAGAAAGAAGACAACACTAGGACAGACACAGCTGATGCATTTTTCTCACCTTGCCAGGTATGTCTCCCACCCTTTGTAGCCTAACCATACATACCACATTCCTCTTGATTTGCACATAAGTTTCATATCCTGTTTAGATCCCATACTCTAGTTTCCCGCACTACATTCCCTAGACCTGAATTTTCTGAACAGCAATGTGTGAAACAATTGACATTAGTGAACTTCTCACCAATAAATGCTTAAGAGTTTGTGAAATAAAAGCTCCAGAAATTTTGACCTTAGCTAGCCAGCTTAGCTTGGACATGCCCTCATAGGGAAGTCACTTTCAGTTTCTGAACTCCTACCAAAATCCCACACATAACTTGCTTCTAACTTTGGGAAAAATTCCCCGCTGGAATAAAGTCATAACCAAGAAACTAGACCTGTGTTGGTTTGTGCAAAGTTGGCATGAGTTGCACAAGCACATGAGGTCGAGAGGAAAAAGTCAAATACACGATTCCTGCAAGGAGATCTGCTTCCCTCTGTGTTAACCTAGACCGGATGCACACTGACTCAGCTCATATTCGCCCTTCTCCAAAGGCAATATTTATGGTCTAAAACCTGCTCCAAGCTACTGGCTGTCACATTAAACCAACTCTAAACTAAAAGGTTCCTATTCAGGGCCCTGAGATTATTAGGGGGATTAACACACAAAAGCCAGCCATCAGTAGTGCACAGACACCAGCATGCCCAAGGTAAGGGATCACACACACAGAAGCTATGCCGCTCCCGGTTGTAGCCTACCGTGCCTTTGTCCTGAAGGCACATCATCAGAGTGCAGACATCACCCGTTGCTTGATGGTTCACCAGCACCATGGCTTCATCTTCTGATACCGCTTTCACATCGTCACCCCATTCCACTACTATTAAAAAAAACATAAATAAAAAGGTAAATTTTACAATGACCATGTGGAAATTTTACTATCAACATCAACAAAACAAAAAACCCAAAGACCCCACACCCAGACAATTATAATAAAGAAACCTACATGCTACATGTCAATTTAAATTGGTACATAGCATAAGATAGGAATATTAGCAAGACCATTTTTCCAAGCAGAGACTATCCAGCTTAGTTTTAAATTGCATGCGCAGAATAAGAACAAAACAAAAATACTCTACCAGAATATATGCAGAGATTGATCTTTTTGTGTCACTACACTATTCCATATTTAGGGTCTCAAAATTACATAAGCTTTTGACCCAGCTTTCAAATTCAATTGTCTCACCTTATTAGATTAAAAAAAAAAAAAAAAAGTTGTCAAAATGGTTTGTTGTTGGTTTTTTTTGAACTTAGCAAGTTTGTTCCGTTTCTACACTTACTATTATTAAACTACTCCAGTAAAGGCACAACAAAAAATCCATAGTTGGATCATTTATGTTTAAAATGCTCCATTAAACAAACTCAGTAATTCAAGTCTAAACAAGTTAGCTATAGGCAAGAAAGTGGGCTCAGAAAATTCTGCTCAGATGACAGAAACTGTTAGTCACCGTTTTGTAGATCAGAGACCAAATACTCCAGTGGGAAGAATGACGTCAGCAGGAGCCTACAGCTGCTGATCATCCAACATTTGCACTGACTAGTAAAAATAGGCTGAGGCAAGGAAAAGGAGCTAAAATTGCTAGTTCCATCACCACAAAATAACTAGAGAAAGAGAAGACTGCCTCCCATAAAAAACACAGGATGGAAAACTAGAAAAAGTCTGTCAAAAATCAAAGACCAGAATATGTCTAATGATGTTATTGGGGCCAAGAGACAAGCGAGTAGAGTCTGGCCCTCTTCAATAAAAGGGATGGTTGGTTACTGCAACGCAGGGTAAAGGGAAAGGATGGGCAGGCAGAGTAGCTCTATGAAGTTCACAAGGAACCCTAAGATGCATTGTCCATGCATGGAGGATATGATTATTTTTCTGTGTTTATTCAGTACCTTAAGTGGATCTTACTGGCTATTATTTTCCTTTCTGACAGGAAAGGAAATCACCTCCGCTACTGGATCTTTAGTACTGTTATTAACAGGTCTCCAGGCAGTGAACAACTCTCATCATAGGACAATTAATTACTTTACTACTATCTATATTTTAAGCAGTGGTTTAACTGATGCAAAAGCATCAGGGTACACACTGAAGACAAGAAGCAATAATCCATGCACAGCTTCTCTGTCTTTGCAGAATCCAATTAGCATCACACCTTTGAAAGTGGTCACTTTATTACTTTCTAATGGCTCCTAAATTAGCACTGAGTTGAAACTTGAACACAAAGTAAAAAAAATAAAATGCTGTACTGGGTCACACATAGACAGAAGCAGACTAGAGATATGAAGGTGGAGAGGACTATTCATCCCATCATGTTCAACCTCCCTTCCTTTCCCTGAGCAAGCTAAACACAGATCCTTCCTTACTTTTCTCAACATGAACTTTGAAAACCCCCTTTATCCTTCCTCCTCAGTTGTGTGCAAATTCCCTCTGATGTCCTCTCTAACTTCCACAGAAGTTGGAAAATGCCTGCACATGGCAGTCATAGTTGACCATCCACCTTTCCTATCAAGCATTTCACATCTGTCTATGGCAATACCCCGCACAAGGCAAGAAGATGAAACAAGAATTGTTTAAAAGGAAATTAATCAGCCGTGTATTGATTTTGAAATTATTACTTCAATGCCTTTATTATGCAGCCAATATACAATAGTCTTACTGAACTGTGGCTTTCCAAAAGTAATAAAAACTAAGTACTAAATACATTAAGGATCTGCAAAATAAGGTTTCTCACAAGTAGCTCATTATTTCAAAATAAAATTTTATTTCTAGATCACTCCAAGAAAAAATGGATTACTTTACCATAGATACTTCCCTTGAAGATATCAATTTATACTACTAATCATTTCTACTGTAGTGTAGTTTAAAAATAAACTATTTTTAATCTTCAAAAATGTTTCACAGATCTAACTTTCTGAAGGATTAAAATAAAGTTAATGACTGAAAAATGTAAGCCATGAGAAGTAGCACACAATTGAAAACAACTAAAGAGCAGAACTCACAAAGCTTAATTTGTTAGAAAAAAGTACATTTTGGCACACTAGGTGAAGACTAGTGTCTGACTTTAAACCTATCTGAAATAGGCCCCAAAGAAAAATAGGAAAAAAAGCTTCTGCTGTTACCTATTTTACCTATTCTTGCTAAATACAATAGAGGGTAAAAACACACAACCAGCTTACAGTGCACTAACAAGTTTCACCTGAGAAGGAGTAAAAAGGTGGGTTCTGTTATCCCACTCCAAATCCAAGGTAAAAAAAAAAAAGTTTGATTTAATTCTTTAATTGATTTACTCAATTCATTTTATCTATCAATTGGCCAAGCTAATAGCTCAACTTCTGTGGCTCAGCTGACAGGTAGTAAGTTATTAAATCACAGTGATGCAGCTGGACATCCTCTAGTTTCTTTTCCCTCTGTCATTTCTCCTCAGGCAACCAGGCTGTCTCTTCTGCTTAATAAGACTTTATGGTCAATTGATTGACCCGATTATCAAGGAGAAAAGAATCAGTTTGTGCAAGTCCTTCACAGAGCATTTCTGGTCGGAAACAGAATAGCAAACCACAAAAGTGTGCAGAAAAACCACTACCATTACCACAATTTATTTTAAAAACAAAAAAACCCCCAAATATCTAGCATTTTAAGTTCACAGTGTCCCTTTAAACTCAATCAGGGAAATAAATGCCTTTCTTCAATTTTCTCACTGCACTGAAATTTTCAAAAGGAGCACCTTTTGCTTTAAGAAATTATTACATTCCTCCACTGCAGCTGGAAACATTCAAATCAAAACCTCAGCTGCATGGCAGCAGAACCAGGAACACCGCTTTGCTCCACTGTATCAAGACAAAAAACAGTTCAAAGACAAGTATTTGTCACTCAGGGGCTTGAAAACCAGGAAGCATTCCTCCACAGCTTCCTTCTATTGCCAGGACACATTTTATAAGGATACCAGTTCTGGGTCTATGGCCTGACAATATTTGCATTTCTGCAAATGCAGTTTAACATAGTGAAATAACATAAAGGAAGGAAGGAGCAGGAAATCAATTTAACCTGGTAATTTGAAATCATGGTAAACTCTGTACCAAGCAAATTTGGCAATTCTGATTAGTAATGAAATCTTTTACCCCAAAGACTGAGACAGAAATGGCTTAACTGTAACAGATACTTCATTTGTGACTTAGTGTTGTAAGCAAAAGGCTTCTCTGAGAAAGGAAGACGACAAAATTTACTTGTAATTGCATGCCATAAGACGGAAATATTTATCCTTGTACACAAGGATATACACAAGTTGCTGAAACATCAAGAAAGTATTTCATACAAGGAGCTGCAAACCAAGCTTTTTATAAGGCAATCCTTGCAGAGCTTAAAGAAAGTAAAAGCAATAAAAGGGTTTGGGTTTTTTTAACATTTTAAAAGAACTACTGCATATCTAAATGTAACTATTGAGAGTTCTCAGAATACTTATTCTGCACAATTGCCTAGCAATTCATATAAACGACTTCATTTTGCATACTGCATTTTAAAACTTCAGAAGTGTTCTGGAATTGTCAACCCTTTCTTCTTCATTATAGTTAAGAGTTTCACTACAGTGTGTGCCATAAGAATCAGCATAAATTTTATTGGCATCTTAATGACTTAATTTCTAATGAATACCTGGGGTTATTAGGTTGTTATTTCAAAATGTATCGAGTTCTAACTTCCTATTTCTCCACTGAATTGGGAGGAGGGAGAGAAAAAAAAAAAAAAAAAAAAAAAAGCAAAAAAGCTTCCTGCTAGGAATTTCAACAGCCATTAGGAAAGGGCAGTGGGGAACCAGTTGCAATTCTCATACTAGCATCACCAGAATAATACTGGGCACAAGTATAAACTGGGAGAGGAGTGGCTGAAGCACAGCCCTGCAGAAAGGGGTCTGGGGGTGCTGGTGGGCAGCAGGCTCAGTGTGTCAGCAGTGTGCCCTGGAAGTCAAAAGGGCAAACCACATCCTAGGGTCCATCAAACACAGCGTAACAAGCTGGTCAAAAGAGGTTACTGTCCTGCTGTATTCAGCGTTGCTGTGGCCTCATCTTGAGTACAGCTGTGTGCAGTTCTGGGCCCCACAATTTAAGAGCTATATGAAGGTCCTTGAAGGTGTCCAGAGGAGGGCAACAAAGCCGGTGAAAGGGCTGGAAGGAATGTCCTCTGAGGAGCGGCTAAGGACTTTGGGCTTGTCTAGTTTGGAGAAAAGGAGGCTGGGGGGCAACTGCACGGCTCTTTACAGCTTCCCATGCAGGGGAAGCGGAGAGGGAGGTGCTGATCTCTTCTCACAGGTATCGTATTCAGTGACAGGACACGTGGGAATAGTTCAAAACTGCGACAGAAGAGGTTTAGACTGGACATTAAGAAGCATTTCTTTACTAAGAGGGTGGTCAAACATTGGAACAGGCTTCCAAGAGAGGTGGTCAATGTCCTGAACCTGTCAGTGTTTAAGAGGCATTTGGACAATGCCCTCAATAACATACTTTAACTTTTGGTCGGTCCCTAGGTGGTCAGGCAGCTGGACTAAATGATCATCGTAGGTCCCTTCCAACTGAAAAATATTTTATTCAAATCTAAAAGCTACCATATTAATCCCATAAATAAAAAAACATGAGAAGACTGATGCTTTATGGCAAGGTCAGGAAACTCTTCAAGTGTTCTAATCACAATTATTAAAAACCCCAAACCCATAAAACAGCTAGATAAATCACCTGAAAGTTATATCTAAACATACAACTGATTTGGGTATCCACTTTATTTGCCATTTAGATTTGAGTCTACACACAATATTTAAAACTTTCTCTAAAAATCGGAGAAGTTAA